ATGCATTTGGCAGAAATATGTACAATTCATGGAGAGATTTTATTAGTTTAATAATGCCATTAGTAAAGCTTGTGCATTTGATTCGTTACAGTGACATACGTACGAATTGTCCCAGTGTTCGTAAATCATCGTTTACACTTCATTGAAGGTGTGCGCTGAAAAGACCCTGACTAAATTGTCCATAGCAGCATAGGAGACAAAATTGTACATCGCAAATAGCCTTCAGTCGTAGTATTATATATACTGAATAATGTTTTAAGAATATCAATGTCCAAATGCTTTCAAATAAATGTCGAGTGATTAAGTACTTGCTTAAACTCTACATAATTTAATTAAGTGATTATAATAATTCAAAACATATGAATAAGACCTTGCGATTATATCATTGTAGAATACGTAAGCTTCAATGCTTTTTTATCTAATTAAACATCGCAGCTCTCTCCGTTTATTATTTCATTCGCTTTTACTTTTTATTCAAAGTCTATAAATATGCATAAAGGGATGTTTTAAGGACAATTGAAAATGCAAATGGAATATGTGTAATTAGTTAATTTCAGAAATTGTTGATGTGTTCTTGTTAAGATCCGTAAATAATATGGAAAACAATTTTCTTAGACAAATTACATGTAGAATGTATAGTAATGCGAAAAAAAAACTTCCACAACATTGTTTTATATTCAGAAATAAAAATTCAAACATTTTAACATTTAATGTTTGTTGATTTTTTGAAGAAATTGCAAAAATCATAACAAATTTTTCTTATTTCGTGCATAACTGTATTTTAGAAATACTCACACCAGCATATTTTTGTAAATATTGCTACTACATATGCAATTATTGTTTTAATTTTATTGACAATTTTAAAAATAATGAATGAAAGTTGTTTCAAGAAAAGGTTGCTTAAGTCATTTAACAAAAAATTCATAATTTTAGTATACTAGTTGTCACGTCCTTCTAATGAACTTTGGCAAATTGCTTTAAGCATTATTCCGTTTTATGGGATATAATTTTCAAGATCAGTGTTTGCCGATAACAGCTACAGTTTTTTAAAATTATTTTTATCTTTAGTAACACAATTATATTGGTAAAAATTACGAATAATAATCTTTTAATTAATTTATGATAAATTATACAGAATAAATAGTCTGTACATGAAGAATTTGTAGAATTCGAGTTTAAAAATACTATAAATTAACCAAATAAACATGAAAATTGAAGTATCTTGTTTTGTAAAATTAAACAAATATTTATTCAAAATGTGTCTTTTTTTACTATTTCTTTATTAATTATACAATCAAGAACCAAGAATTTATGTAGTTATTATATTTATTACGCTTAAAAATAATTTCTTAATTTGTATTCAGTATATTCTTACACGTAAAAATTGGATTGAAAAGAAATTTTTTATACGGCACAAGCATTTAGGTAAAAACTGATATTATATTGAGTGACAACTAATGAGAAGGAAGAAGGATAAATGTTTAAATCGATAATAAAAATATTTAAAAAATAAAAAAAATAACCTAAATACATTCGTTCTTCTTTGCAAAAAGAAGAATTATGAAAAGATATTGAATGCGTTACAAATAACCAATTAATTTTTTCATAAGTATGATACGCTGAAATAATAGCAATTATTTCTCTAGTAGTCTAAATTATGTAAAATAAAAGTAGGAAAAAGTCATTTATCGCATATAACAATAAGGCATTTCAAAACAAATGCACACATATAATTCATAAGTTGTATTTTATAAATAATTGTGTTAAAAAGAGTCGTTGATAATTTTTTTAATGTTTGTTCAAGCACGTACCACGTATGCGACATATATACATATAATTTCTTGTAAAATTAATTTTTGTTTTTTAAAACAATCTAATACATAGCAACTGTATACAAGTTAAAAATAAAATTTTTAATTTATTTAATTTATTATCATAAATTCATAAGGCTGCTATTTTTTTTAAAATCCACTCGCGTATTTAAGAATGCATCAACGGATTATGAAATTAAGTTTAAAATAAAATTATTTCATACGCAGCGATGTATTTATAAAAGCAAACAATATATATGCTCTATAAATGCATTGGGAATTACAAGTCTTTGTAGAATGTCTATAACATTTATTTAATATAAAACTTTCTCGAGTACTTGCCCTGCCTTCTCGTAAATAAATCTCATCTTTCATCTTTGCTACTTTATCGTTGATATAAATTTTAAACAATTCTCTGGCTAAGGTACAGAAGGGATATTCTCTTAACAGTTCTACAACAAACCATAAAATAAATATTACGCTAATGCATAAGAATGCTTGTCAAGAAAAATAAATATCGAGCAAACAGGTTGTTTACACGAATGGATGAAAATACCTCAGCTGATAAATACGACAACAGAGATACGCTGCACCTCCTAATTGGTAGTATTTGTCAATTTTCAATAATATAATTCCATGTAGCGCTCGATAAACACACAAAATAACAAACGTATTAGAGAATATGAAAAAGAAGACAATGTTAGCTATTTAAAATTTACGAAGTATTTTTGCAATCGATAATTATATTTAACGGCATTCCCAATATCACAATGAATAAAATAAAACAATACATAATAAATATATTATAAATACACTATAAATAAAACGTATCTTTTACTTAGACTGGATACGTACTATTATATATATATATATATACTGAAAATCCAAATTTCTGTAATTTAGGTAAAACGAGCGATTTAATGTATATCGCATAAAATCATAAATATCTTAATTGTTTAAAAGTGAATTTGAACAAATTGAAAAAATTACGCAAAAACTATATTAAGTTCCACTATTAAAATCTTTTATTAAATGTCTGTTGATAATAACCTAAATTTCATAGCTAAAGATACGAGCAATGCCATAAAGTTTTATTTTTGGAGATGAAAACTAAATAAATTACGTCCTTAAAAATTAGTAATAAATATTTAATCTTTCAAACAATTATTAACTCAATCAATCAGAATATATAAGAAAAATATTGAGATATTAAAAGAAGATATTTACCATTTTTTAGATTATTATAGAAACTAATAAAATAATGTCTAATAAAATAACGATAAAATCTCATAACATTTGCAACGAGATCTGTAACATTATAACGATAACGACCGAAATTTTTCTTTATTATACGATACCAATAAAAAGCTTATTCGGTGATATAATAAATAATATTTTATGAATATATAATAATACATAATTGTCAGCGTATCCTTAATGTTCAAAACGTATAAATCGGAAGAAATTGAACATTCGTTTTGCTAAGTATGAAAAGTAAATGTAAACGAAATTTATAATATAATATCGCTCCTTTATATTCAAATCGAAGCTAATTATATGTAAAAATTAACATTTCACAAAAAAAAATTTTACTCATAAAATAAAAAAGCAATGTATGATTTATGGGAAAAATGTCTAAGAAAGCTTGAAGAATATAAGGAAATCTGATATATTTAACAAATAAGAAATATTTATTCTTAATGCGAATGGAGAAAAAAAAACGTAAACATAAAGGATAAATTTTATGAAATTTAAATTAAAATTACTCACATATTAGCAATTAATTGAACGTAACAAAGTTACAGTATCATTAAAATAAAGCATAAAATCGTTTACCAAATTAAGACAAACATAAAAGTTTAAGAGAAATATAAATAGTATGGGGTGAAATTTAAATTTAATTTTAATTTGCTAATAAACGAAAAAAAAACTTGTAATTATAACGTATTTGTCTTGTTGATTTCGCCCTTTAACTACGAATGGGAAACGTTTAATAAAATTGGCTTATTGGCAATCTATGCGTTAGCAACATATTAGAAATATTTGCCTAATTTTATTAAATTTTTATAGTACATATAAATTGTAAGTTTAGATAATCTAACATGTAAAGTACTTATATAAAATATACTAGTAGATAGGGATGGTAAAGTAGCAAAGAAATCGAGGATTCTTTGTTCCAACTTGCACCGGAAACATTCACTGGCGGAAATATATTTCAAGCCATTATTCTTACGTACACTCCGGGCTTCTTTAAAACCTAAAGAGTCAGATTTTTTCTATCGTACGTCGTATTTGTCAAATGCAACGTAATCAATAATAGTAATAGCCACTCTCCAATCGATTATAAAAATGATGTTTGCTTCGGCTAAAAGAGTAAAAAAAGATGAAGGAAATTACTTCATCGTTGATAAATCGTATGATTATACAAGTATAGAAGAATTTAAAGACAAGAACATGTTAATTTGAATTTGGACGGAAATTTTTTGGAAACACGCTTCATCTCCGATCACTATCGAAATCATTCAAATTAATCATAATATTTTGCCTTACAGAGCAATTACAACAAGGTAAACAATTATGAAAAACGAATGAAAAAAATCTCCTCGCAACATGCGCTACGTTCGATGCAAATTTTGCTAAAAATTCGTTAATTAAACGCATAATCCAATAATCCATGACATTAATTAAATCGCTACCGTACATATCGAAGTAAAAATGTTGGAATTCCATGGCGCATGTGTATGGTAGGGTGAGTCGTCGACTATCCGTTAAATCAAGTCCAAAAACGCTTCAACCATCAAGTCGCGCGATAATTAGGAAATTCTCAGGTTTGTTTCCCAGCCCCGTCGAAACGGGAAGTTTGTCCCTTGAACCCGATCGCCGCTCCGAATGCTTTTTTTATTTTTTTCCAACGGATTTCCAAACGCTCAACCGTCGCTCCAACGAGCCACAACAACAAACCTAAGCTATGCTACCAATGTAAGTGGGAAAAGAAATAGCGAGAGACACGAGCCACGCACTTAGCCGTGGCTAAGACGAGGGAAGACAATCGTCGTGTCTGGCCGTCGCGTAGGACGGATCTTTCGAAGAGGACGGCGGGACCGGCGGAGGGACGAGAGGGAGGTTGGGCGTCGAGTGGAGGGGAGCGGAACAACAGCAACAGTAACCGCCGCCACCGCCGCCACCGCCGCCACCGCCGCCACCGCCGACGTCGCTGCTGCCGCTATTGAAGACGCCGTGATGGTTGGGGGACGCTACTTTAGTCCCGACGCCGACGCCCGGTACACCACTCGCCAGTTGTTCTCCAGTCGACGTTTCGCGCGCTTTTACCACAACAATCGCCTCAAAATCAGCCAGTGCCCAGTAGCTCCTTGGAATCCATCGCCGCAAGCTCCATCAGAGTAAGTATACGCACATGCCATTTTCTTGCCCATTTCGCAATCCCGTTCGCCAACCTGTTGATGGGCCCCCGAGAGCCAGAAGGTCCCTTAATGATTTTTAAGCGTCACTTCGACCCATCGGCGATGGTAGTTCGAAGCGCTTAGAAATGCGTCGAATACGGCGATACGAGATACGCGATACATGATTACGGGGTGTGAAGTTTAACATTGCCATCAAGGAAAATCAAGGAAATTCAAGGAAATTCAGTTGTCGTTATGTCTGAGACCGGTCTGTTTACATAAGCAGTCTGGAAATGAAGTCTTTTTTTTTTTTTTTTTTTTTTTTTTTTTTTTTTTTTTTTTTAATAACGATGGACGAGAATCGCCATTGAACATGAGACGCTGCGTCGACAAATTTATTGCCCGTAGTGTTGTCGCGTCTCGTTGTTAGATAAGTGAGCTTGTTTGTATTCATTATGGACAGAGTAAATATTTGTTAGAGTGGTCGAATAATTATGTAAGTCTTTGGATAGGCAATCTTGTAAATATGTTTAAGCAATGGGCATTTGATGCAGAATTGAACGTAAATGCGTAGGAGCGCGCAACTAGGGAAATTCTTGCGAGCTTCGTTTTGTCAAAGCTTTACGTATGTGTTTTGGCAACCATTGAATGAAGAAGGCTAATGAGATTGGGGATAATACCGGAATTCGAGCCTTCGCATGTTGCATTAATGACAAGATTTTCGTATTGTCGGGACCTCGAAATAAGGATTCATCGGTAAACGCCAGTGCGGTTGTTAGCCTCGATATATTAAGGTCAACAGCATTTGCGGTGCAATTTTTCAATTTTTCAACGAGCGCATGCATGGTGTTTGCTAAACCACGCCTCGATTGTCGGGCACACCTTAAAAATAATGCGAAAGACAAGAAAATTACCGTCGGTATTTCCTAGTGCGAGAAATGTGCCGCCGCTCTTGTATCCAATTGTCGTCTCATTTTGTCCCCATTTTACTTCTTCGCCCAATAATTCGATATTTTTATGGGGTCTTCATGTAAATGAAGAGTCCTAGTTACATTTTTAAGAAATATTATCGAGTGAAGTTTGACGTGCATTATATACTGCTTTCATACCCTAGGGCGATTACATGTTTACTTTGACAAATATTAGCAGATTATTGATAATTTTACTACTTTATGATGATAGCATCTAGTGCTTCTTGTATTATCTGCATATTCGAGCGTTAAATTTGCATTAAAGTACAGGAGAATGAGGACGCATAGACGTAATCAAGACATTGGCTCGAGTAGTAAAAGTTTATAAACCATATTACGTGTACAGTTATTCTCAATAAAATGAGTGTTATAAAATATTGTTGGGCATTAAAATAATTTATAATATAATTGATCGGTTTCTTTTAAATAGTGACAACGACATTAAAGAGCGTTCGTGGCCTAATTTTAATAAATGTCGTGAGTTTATTCTGAAATACGTAAAATTTTACGGCGTTCGGTCGAGTCATTCATATTGTACTTTATTGTTTGAATATCATTCGGGTCAAGTTCAAAGTTTTGCAAAATTAAATACAAACTCTAGACGAAGTAGTATAAGCATTTTTTATAATATTTATTTACGAATTACGTATTAATTGCCTATTATTAATTTCCGAACATCCCCTTTTGCTCGATAATATCGTTTTCTCTTAATCTCTCGGAATCAAGCGTTTAATAGTCGTAAAATGTCGTACCACTACTTGGATGTCATTTTCACAAAAATTTGCATATCTAATAAAGAATTTCCAATTCTTTACATTGGTTTTAAAGTTCTTGAAGAATATGGAAGTACGCATCGTTAGATAAATTTCTCGCATTCGTTAAAATTTTATGAAATCTTTGGCAACGTAATTTTTACTAGTGCATCGGTCGAACTGTCGCCACTACCGGTGACCGCGGGGGAAGGGGGGGGGGTGTTTAGTAAACAAGGACTTTTTTTTATCGCACTATGAAAATTTTTGTATTCCTGGTTTATTATCGAATGCTCATATCTAAACGATCGTTAATTAATGCGATAAATGCTGCATTCGCCTCTTACCATTTGCATTAATCAATCATCATTAATAATTCTCGTTATGCGTTCTTTTGGATCAATAATACGAAAGCTCGCGTAGTTAATCGAAAAATATCGTGAGTGAAAAACAATCTTCGAACCAAATAATAAAACATAAATATTACGTGGTGAGCCAAGTAAATGAGCAGTGGTGGGTCTTTGCAAATGCATTATATAGTGTAATTTACGAAACCCAAGAGTAATAACAACGAGCAATAATACTGCAATTTGGTTCTTGAAAATAAATGCAACCCCGTAAATTCGCCAGATTCGCTAACGAGCGCCGATTATAATCTTATCTTAACATCCAACGAGCACTACAATCGCACGGTTGTCCACGCTTATAACGAAGAAGGTACCACCGATGGATCGACTGCGACTCCAGCGAAAGACGTTTGACCGCTAAAAATCGACTCGAAGCCTTGGTCGACGCCCACACGCACACATCGACGCAGAGAGAGAGAGAGAGAGAGAGAGAGAGAGAGAAAGAAGTTGGGATCAAATGGCCGGCGACAGTACAGGAACGTCTATGGTATATCCGAGTTTCAAAACTAATTCGAGAATGAATTCGAGCCCTGATGATTCCATCACGTCCATAAAAATACACATCGAACTGCACCTTTGCAAGTACATAACGGATGCAGTGTATCATCCTCGAACCTCACCCTGAGCACAATCGCGTGACTGTTTCTTCTCCCCACGGTGCCTTCGAAGCCAATGTGGGAGTCGGCTTCCTAAGGGATTCTGACGAAAACTGTATTAAGATTGAGATTGTGCTCGCCAAAATTACTGTCCAATGCTTGGAATCTGCGAATGACGCCGTAAGACTTTGGCATCACGTAATTCATAGCGTTCTAAATATTTACATATATTTCACTTGTTTTTACTAGCGCATTTCTCTCTCTCTCTCTCTCTCTCTCTCTCTCACTCTCTATCTCCCTCACTCCCACTCTCTATCTCTCGCGCACGCATATTTAGATTATTTCGATGGTTAACACAAAACAGTTTTACCGCTTTGGAGCCGATCAAGGATCTCGTTATATTACTATGATATTGTTATACTTCGAGATTTAAAACTATTTACTTTAGAGAGGTAAACGTTTCCATAATATTTTGATACATTCCTCGCTCCTCTTCGTGGCATACGATTGAATATTAAAAATTGAGAATATTTACAAATTCTGATTACATTAATATTCATTAACACCTGCAAAAGCTTCGCATTAAATCGACGTCAAAATTTGTCAAAATTGCAGCTACATTTGCAAGTTAAACATCAGGTATTACATTGATTTCTTAAAAAAATCTCTTGATTAATACGCAACACAATGTGTATTAATTCAAAAATTTTCCAATTATTACAATGAAAGAGTTTTAATATACTCTCGAAACCTATTTCCAGTGAATTTGTCAGATCTACAGTCGTGGAAGGGACATAATATTGAAGTATAAATATCTTCTCCAGATTTTCGTAACCTTATTCTCTTTCCATTATATTGCAAACTACTGACATCCAACTCGACTCAATCTCAGATACAACCAAACCACGTACCATATCGATATTTTCAGAAATCCAGTCGATTTGCGCAAAGCTTTCGATAAAACAATTCATTCACTTGCCACTTTCATTTAAAAGAATTCTATAAATAATCTGCATTTTCTGAACTAATTTATTTATTTGCATTTTCATTTTAAATACAATCTTGTAGAATATTCGATGATATAACTTTAACTTTTTCTTCTAATCAAATTAACTCTAATGGCACTGTTCCAGTTATTTTTTTTTTTTTCCATTCATTTATACACTTCAAGAAAATTTATAAATATATAATTATATAATTATATAATAGTCTTCGTAGCTAAGAAAAACCATACGCAATAAAAACTATTATCATTTCTAAACATCGAGAAACTGAATCCGAAGTAAATAAGGAAATCTAAGCCGCGCGCATCAATAGTTTTTCAGTGACTTAATGGAGCAATTTGAAATTTATAAATCCAACGGACTATGGTTGCGGAATACGAAAGACATTGATACGTGATCAGCATCATTTTTTTTTTTTTTAATTCATGACCTCGTGCGCTCATCCATTTTTGGCATCCGTTCCAATAACTATGCGACTACACATTGGACAGTGACCATCACATCGCGAAAGCAAAATCGGAAACAAATATATTTTGCCCAGAGTGATGATGTAATGCATTCCTAATCGTAAACCATGAACTACATTTCGAATACGATTCCAAGAATTTTAATGTTAATTATACTCAAATCATTGGTCCAAGATTAATGAACTTAAAAAAAAAAAAAAAAAAAAATCCTAGCAAAAATATTCTTCTAATAGATGACATTTTACAAATTTTTTCAATATTTGTTATCTCGTATGTATGTAAACATATCATTAGTAACTTGTAATCTCAAAATATGAGAAAAACGTTTTATCTTTCAAAGTTATTACTTGACGTTTGTACATTAAATAATGTAAAAATTACTCTGCTGCACTTTTATCATACAAATATTCAAGAATGAAATTAAAGTTTTATTTGCCAATAAATTATTTCATATTAAAATCTATGTAATCTCAATTAATACTTATTTTTCACGATAAATTACAAAAAAAAAAAAAAAAAAAAAAAAAAAAAAAAAAACAATGCAATTACTATTATTAGATAAATTATAAAAACTGTCGTAACCCTAAAAAGTAATAAATAAATCAAATAAATTAAAAATAATAAATTATAAATGAGCCACAGAAAAAATTATACAATCCGTGTTATTCTCATTTTATAAACTAAACAATGAAATAATTAGGAAATTTTAATTAAGTGTACGTAGAAAATCTTTCTTTCCATCTTTTTGACGCAATTTTGTTTTGAATAAAAATGACCTTGGGTTGGAATTATTGTCGATGTAAATGAAATTGGATTTAATGGGGAATACAAAAAATTGGATTTCAAATTATTTGAAATCATTGTACCGAATGTCTTATTAAGAAATTTTTAATTTTCAACTTGAATCTCGAAAAATCTCATGTAAATTAGCCTTTTAAATTTGCGACACACGAGCTGCGAAATCATTTATGTAAATACAGAAAATAGAGGAAAATAAAATCAGCATGAATATCGATTATCTAAAAGTGGCCGAGAATTATCAATATAGAACTGTTGCTTGACTAACCCTTGACATCAGAGAAATGTGCTATTCGTTCGCACGCACCTATTTTTTGCCTAACTTAGGCACTTACGAGCGCGTAAGCCAAAGGAGAAGGAAAGTGATGAGTTGGGCACACGCTGTCCAAGAGACTCGAAATCGATGAGCTTCGTTAACCACGGCTCTCTCATAAATAAATCATCCGGATCATCATAAAGGAGGCGTGTGCTCGGAAGCTGAAAAAACAGGGTCCCAGATCGGAAAATGAGGCGCCGGATAATAGTCGACGTCGCTGAGATGAGATGCGATTCCTCCAAGGCGAACGCCAACCGCAACAATAAGCTCGAAGATAGGAAGTGGGTCAAAAGCGCCGCCGCTCGATTATTTTCCGGGACGCGTATTTTTTTCACGTGACTCAGCGCGCGGCAAATATAGCTCCCAACAATTTTTGCGTTTGTTATGGCGCGGTCGGCTTCGTCTGTCTCGAGGACGAGCCGGAAGCTGCGCTTCCTTGGCTTTCACGGTATTTAAATTCGGATTTGAATGGAATTGGAATGGAGATTGGGCGTTGAGAATCATCGGAGATTTCGTGCAGTAAAGAAGAAAAGTATCCCCAGGTTCAAGGGCTTGGAGCTCCGCGTGCGATAATCGTTTACAATTTTTGCATTTAACGTTAACCATTGGAGTGTGTTGCTTTGGGATCTTACAGTCGTGTTATTATAATTGTATAAATATTATTTCGGAGCATGTAAAGAGATGCGTAGCGATGGAGCAGCAAGTTTGACGCCGACGATCATCATCTCTCAAAATATCGTTAGCTCGAACCGTTTTGTCGCATCCGTTTCTGCGATATGATGTAATAAAATTTGTACTTTATATTCCACGTTAATACATCGAAAGAAATAGCATACAGGCAATCTTTTCTTTAATATAAAAATATTTTTTGCTTCAGCAATTTCGCACGGTTACTAAATCCATCCAAAATACACAACTTTCTTTTCTTCTTTACATAAAAATAATACTGTTTAAACATAGAAATACTTAAATAAAACATTAAAGTAATATTTTAACTACATTATACATTCGTGCAATCATGTAAAAATATTAATAAGAGAATTTACAATTTAAGATTAAATGCACGTTTATCAATTAATGACAAAAAAATATCGTTAACACTGTTAATAAGAAAAAAATAATTAATTTTTTTAAAAAATATATATTTTTTTTTGCTTGATCGCATAATGCATTTTGTACTCTATTTTATCACCATTTAAATGAATATATAAACTTTCATGATAAAAGATTTAATATACTTAAAAAAATTAACAAGGTATATATCGTGATTGTAAAATCACTTGTGTGAATATTATTTGCTGAAACGAGGCGTAAAACTAAGTGAGCAAAAAATATGTTGATTTAAACATATTAAAGATTTTATTTTATTTTATTCATATTAATATTTTTTATATTAGTAAGATGAAAATTACCAAAATATTAAATATATTTAAATACAATCTTACTCTTGTATATGTGCTTGTATGTAGTATATAGTAGTTTTTAGCCCTTTCTATTATACATTTAAAATTCGTAACATAAATACATATATATATATATATATATATATATGTATTTATGTTACGAATTTTAAATGTATAATAGAAAGGGCTAAAAACTACTATATACTACATACAAGCATATATATATATATATATATATATATATATATATATATTAGAAATATTATTAGGGATATTATTATTATATATGTATATTGGGGGTCAAAACGATAAAATAATATAAGAAAAATAATAAAAACAAAAAAGCAATCGAATTCTTACGTGTCTCAAATTTTTTTACGAGTACATATAAATAGAAAGTTTTCTACACTGGCGTGCAAAAATATAGTGAATAGAGGAAAATTGTATATTGTACCTTCCGACGACTTATCCAGATCGAAGCTAACATACGCCAAAATCCTAATTACACCAACTGCATCATCCACTTTGTGTGAACTTGATAAGATCACGATACTCATTCTTTTACTTCGATTTTTTTTTCTTTTTTTTTTTTTTTCATTACTTTATTTATTCCGTAATTTTGTTTCACATGACAGGTGCTTATTCAAAATTATCACCAACATCTGAAATTAATTTTCATCCTAAGAAAAATTCCCCGATAAATTTGAAATAGATCCGTAATTAGACGATATTTCATGATAAATATATTCTGAATTAATGTTAATATTTTTTACATATATAACACGAAGAAGAAAAAATTCTATTGTTATTAGTAATCACTATTATTGATGGAAATAAAGACTTTCTTGTTTGTGGAAATTTAATAGTTTGCTAATGAGTAATTTTCAATGAAAAATTCAATATGAGTAATCTGTGTAAGAAAAATACTGCAATCGCGCAATAATCGGTTAGTTATTTTTGCATTGAAAAAGTGAAGTTTAGGGAGGATAAGGTTTAAACGTCAATATTGTATCATGTTCGTTATTTTCCTTTACTTGTTACATTTTTTTTTTTTTTTTTAATAACGACTAAACTGTTTTTTCTAATGCGTCATCGTAAATCTGCCGATTTACTTCATCATCATTTATGGTAATTCGTCATTTATTTTGTGTTTAATTTGATTTCTGTATAAAATAGTTGTACTTGTATTTGTGCATATTGTGTTCACGTTATTCTTTTAATTAATAGTTATAAAAATATAAATTAGCAGAAACTTGTAATTTGGGTGCCTAACTGTTTTATCGTTCAATATAAAAGAAAAATTATAATCATAAGTTAATCATTAAATCCAAATGTGTAGTCATAACATACATATTTATTATGAAGTATTAGATCGATACATTAAAAGTTATTTAAGAACCATAAATTAGAATATTTACACAAACAAGTAAAACTATTCAATTTTTTATAAAGTTAAAATAAAAAATACATTGAAAATGTAATGAAAATAATAAAATAGCAATGTAAAACTCGTTAAAAAAAAAAAAAAAAAGAATACTTATATTGGATAGTTATGATTTAAGTTGAGTTAAAAATCAACATAATTGAATGAATTGATCATACGAAAGATATTTCTATATCGATCCCATACGAATATAATTTAACTTGACCATGAATGAAAATGTTGGAATGACTTGCGATCCTTTTCCACTCTGGTTGATGACATAATTTCTTTACGAATGGAATTTGATTTTTCCCCAGAGATACGGTCATACATACCTTATATGTTTGTGTATGTGTAAATCTAGTTAATTTCAATGTATAATTCAGTCTACAAATAATACGAACCGTAGAAAGAAAGGAAAAACAAATCGAAAAGTAATATTGACAGTATTTGTTCTTAAGTTAAGTAGATGTTTAATCTTCATAATTGCTTTGTGTACTGATAAATGTACAATTTGTGTAAGTTACTTGTACAAGCATCCATCGTAACCTTCAATCCCGACATTCGACATTATGCTTTGATTTTTTGAAATGTACCCACGGCTAGTTTTTAGCGCAATGAATTTTCCGACTCGTAAGGTGGCGCTAATAGTCTAGCAATGACAAGGCCGGATAAAGGACCATCGCGAGTCCTTGTTGGTACCTCTTTAAGAATATTAGCCGAATGTGAAATTCTCGAGTCGATCCGAAGCGACGCCTCGCTATCATCTACCTAACTCTGATAAAAAAAAAAAAAAAAAAAAAAGTGCGAATGTTGCTCGAGATGTCAACAATTGCTCACTTGACAATCATAGGGCGCGACCTTCTACCGAATCACGTTTCTATCTATCTACAAATGAGATCAGGTTACGGGAAAATCCAAGTGGGCGGGCTAAATGTCACTAGACCTTGTTCCTTGATTGTGAATATCATTGACGTTGGTGACGGATGATTTTGTTATGATCCTCCTTATTGAAAAGGCGCAACGCCTTTTTCTGTGCAAGATCATGTAACGTTAAAGCATTGATAAAATTGTTTTCTGAGTCACACGCTTTAAGAATCGTTTATAAATTGCTATTCATTACGTGGCAATTGCGTGCTTTTTTTTCCAAAGTCTTACCGTCACTTTTCGTCTCAAAATAAACGTTTAAGTACTATTAGAAAAAATCGCAATAGTAATTATTTGTTTTTCAATTGTGATTTTGCTTATATTATTATTACTACTAGTAGGAAAAAATCATTCGTATTATGAAATCACTAAAAACTATGGCTTTGTATTATAAATATTATTTTCGAATTTTACAGCAAAGTACAAAATTTTTATGAAAAATATTTAAAATATTCATTATTATTATTTTTCTTATAGACAGTTTAAATTTCATTTACCGTTCACAAGTGAATTAAAATATTTTTCTAAATGTACAAAAAATAAAATGAACATTTTAACACTTTACAATATTTTCTGTATTTACAATATCTCATAATAAGATATAATAATTAATTATCCATTTATTTTAATTTTCAGAAATAAGTAAAAATGGGCAACATTACGAGGCTTACCTTGATCAAGCTCCTTGAACTTGTAAGTAATTTATAATATAATCTGGTAATTCACTGTAATTTTTATAATGTTCGTTATTATAAAAATTATAAGACATTATAAATGGCATTGTTTTCTATAAACAATCAGTAAATTTACATTAAAAATATTATCATTGAAGTGTGAAATAATATTTTTTAACAGTGATAAACATATCATAGTAAAATGTATGTTATAATAATAACTCATAGCGTAGTGAGTTGATTGATTCATCAAATAATTGCTTATCTATGCATTACCTCATTCGCTTTTTACAATTTGTAACGTAAAAAGTATTGTGAAAATGTCAATAAGTATGCAAAATATATCATTTATAATATTACATATGATAATATGCAAGAATTGTATAACATAATATATTATCGATATTTTTCTCGATCCATACTAAAAAGTTTAAAAATTCAACAGCAACAAAAATAATAAATTAATTATTATTAGCGTGACTGATGGGGGTACTTATTTGTTTTATTGTGATGTGATTATCCCGGACCATTACAAATATAACTGTACGCCTAATTTACATTGTGACAAAAATATCTCTTGCACGTTGTAATTGAGATACTATCTCAATATGCGTATGACTCAAAACTCTATGCATGCATTATTAAAAAAACAAGTAATTCAAGATACTTCATTTGCTTGATTGAAATTTTACGAGCGTCAACATACACGGCATAAATTTCCATCGCAAATTTATTTGATTTCTAAGATTATTAAATGCTTTTGTTTGGTACTTTGATATCGATAGCCGTTTTCTGAATTTAAACTTAATTTCTATGACCATTTCAGGTGATGGTAAATATTTTTTTCTACTCGAAAAATTATTGTTTAATAAAGCCTAGCGATTTTAATATATAATGTTTACGCATTTATTATCTCAAAATAAATAATAGAATAAAATTGTTGGTTTAATTGGACATGGAAATTTAATGATATCTGCATATAATCGATCAATAACGTTAACGATATGTTAAGCATATGTTTTAATTAACGTATGAATTTTTTTCAATGATAATAAACGTTATATTGTAATGCGACTTGGAAGTGCAATGTGCTGCTATAGTATATTTATTTATACTCGTAGAATCCGGGCCATTGCTTTACAGAACAATCCAATAACCGAATCAAATCAAGTATGCGCGTATGTTTATGCATATTTCAACCATCCATAGACTTTATAATGTTCGTAAAAATCCATAACCATATTAAATTATTTATTTCGAATTCAGAAAATCGGTATTCACTTGTATTTGCGTAAGCTTTTATCGCCAGTACTAAAACCATAAAAGACCATAAAGTTCAGGAAATGTGAGAGCAATATAATATGAGCTCATTTAATATATCAAGTACGCAACGAGACGAGCAATTATATAATAAGTAAACAAATGAAGTTTCTGAAAATTACGCATATCATCATTGAGATAACTATCATTGCGATTCGATTGACGCACAATACATAACACTTGTGTAGGTACATCTACATCTACATCTACATCCACATCTACATATATATATATATATATATATATATATAAATATAGGTGAAAACAAAGTTGCACATTCTGTAATGCAAACGAGAAATCCTATTGCCACTTAAATTCCACACTAATCTTTATGTATATTTCACGTTTCTGAACTATATAAATACTTTTCATTACAATGATGCGAGCAAAGTCCTTTATATTCGATATAACATCAATAGCAAATGTTTGGTATTAAACACAAGATTTTCAATATGAAAAAAATCACTAAGCTGACTATCGAAACTACGTGATGGTTTATAATAATATAGTACTTAAGAAGCTCAATATTAAAAACTTTCTCATCTAAATATCTCTCTAATACTCTTTTTACTAATTTTCCATGCCAAGTGAAATCAAATATTTTATAACTAAGAGAAAAATATATATATATATATATAAATAATGCGAAGAAGGGTTTTTATGTTAAATATTTTTACTGTATGTGTATTTATTGGTTAAAAAGATATTTATATAATTTTCAACGATTCGAATAAAAAGTTATATTATATATTATATGATCACTTGTAACTTCATAAAGCTATTGACCAATTTTTTTTATTTCTTTGTGGAGAATTCGTTTTAAAATATATGCAGAGTTATTATCACAAAAATGGTTAACGTTTCAATAGTAAAGATTTTAAAATACATGTATTAATAATTATATAAACAGTAATTCATTAAAGTATCTACATGAATACATACTAGTGGTTAGTAATTCCTATTAGAATGCATGATGTTTTAAAAAATTGTATTATTTGTAATTTGGTATTCGTAATGATAAAAAATTGTTATAAAATTACATTTACAATTTATATAATTAATAATGAAAATATCCGTTGAAATTTTGTTTAAAAATTGAAAGACCTACGTTTATAGTAATTCCACGAGTATTTTCTAAGCGACGATAATTTATTATTATCTATTTCAATGAATCATAATTTTATTTAAAGAATTTCATGCAGCACGTGTACCACTAGTCTTCTTTAACTTAACAAATACACGAGGTAATTTAGAAAACTTTGCCTGAGCTCTATATGCTTGATGTATGACCATTATGAAATTTAAGTCCTTAGAATAGTCAGTGAGATTAAAATACACGAAATAGCAATATCGATGCTCATTGGCTTGAAAGAAGAAGAAGAAAAAGGGCAACAGTTTAAATTGTATTGGTAATATTGGCGATGCACGTATATTTTCTATTGTCTTCTTCGTTAGTACGCCGTTAAGTGCGGGACTGCGAATCGAATGAGCGCAAACTCATTTTCATGAGGCCATGGCACATTGAGCGTGCCCGTATTCTTTATTCTCTAGCTTCTAATACCACCTTAAAATGATAATTAAAGCCAAGTAATCGTTATTTCTGCTCTCTTAACTTGACCACTAGTGAAATATTACCATTACTATAATAATTGAACCTTGAACACTATAAGGGATTAATGAATAAAGATAATATGCGTATTAATATAGCGTTATTATTATTTTAATATTGCAATTATTATTATTTTTATTATAATTTTTTTAATATTATTAAGGCAATATTCGACTATTCCCTGACATCATACTAAACCTTATAGAATTATAGATATTTTAAATCGGAACAACAATTAATGATTAAATTGAAAAGAAATTTAATATTAAATTTTAACCATCCAGTTGCACCACTTTTTTTTCTTTTTTTTTATTAATGTAGAAGAGTAAAAATTATGTGTGTAAAATGAAATTATAATAAAAACGATTTTAGGTATTTTCATTTTCAATTGGTATCCATATTACTTGTCCGGCTTATATTTTTTGAAGAAAAAAATCTGCAAGCATTTAAGCGGTTTGAAACAGCTTTGAATGTATGCTAGATTAGTATATTAGTATTTTCATAAATTTGAACATCATTGTATTAATTTATTGTAATTTATGTAAAACTTTGTTTAACAAATTATTATATCTTTTAGTGAATTTGCCTTAATTATCGATCATCCGTATTTAACAATTTTATTTTTTAATTATAGATATTGGTATGCATTCTTTTGGGTTTGCAATATCATACGTATATTGGAGATTTGCACGAGCAGATGTTAGCCACCGGAACTTTCGGTGGTTATCTTATAATCCTCGTAGGTCTATTTGCTGGTGGAATCATGGCAACTCCGGTAAACCGCCGTGTTGTAAGTAAAGCTTCTAACTAAGTAATCGCATTATTTATTATAATCTCGCCCGTAGGTTTTCAATAAAGTAAATATAATATTTTATGAAAAATATTTCACTAAGGTATAAACTGTTGTGTGCGTTTATGCTTTATGCTTTTTAATCAAACTAGAGCAATTGAAAAGATTTTGATTACATTTTTTATGCGGACCTTTTGATAGGAAAGCATATAATATTATAGACTCGAGGAAAAACTTAAGTTCATTAAAGAGAATGTTGTAAAAACAATTTAAATTGTTGATCGATTTCAATATCGTTGCATTAAAGGAATGATAATGAATCTCTTAGCGGTACTAACGTCCTTTATTACTTTTGCAGGATTTATTCTTCAGTTTGGTTGGCTGTGCCCTATTCATCGCCGTTGGCTCAATGGTCATCAGTAACCACCAGTACTTGGCCAATAGCTCAGTTCGTGATAAATACATGGCCAAGGGCTCCATCAGTATAATCGAGGGATTCATATTCCTCGTTGACGCGATTCTCACCTTTAGAGGCGAAGCATAAATGAGCGCTCGCTCGCACCGTTTCCTTATCTATTACTCTGCCTCTTTGTCTTGTTGCTACGTGAAAGATGTTCTATGCGAGCTTTCCGCAATCCCTCGGTCACGAACCAGAAGCCAACAATTTTGTCGACTGCTGAGCCAGCCTCTACACTCAAAAGCGATGGAATGTGTCAGGGTGAATCCATTATCACTACAATTGCCAATGTCTAAAACACATTGCAGCCAAGCCTGATATACGACTTTGCGTCTGTTGTATACAATAAAAACCTTCGTTAAATGTATAATAGATATCCGGTCGATCAAATTATAAAGTAGATTACTTTACTTTAAATCACATAATTGATTTTAAGTTAACGTTTAAAATATTTTCTTACTTAAAAATATGTAATAATAATATCATTTGAATCGTGAAATTTTTTATTTCCTCTCTTTCTAGAATCGTAATGCCTATCTTTATAAACGTATTCGTGCTCGATTTTTTTTTTTTATGTAGTTTCATTAAAAGTTATGTGATTCAAAAAAAAAAAAAAAAATAAAAATAATTAAAGTAATAATATATTCTGCGATTCACACTGTAAATTATGACAATATTGTCTAAACTTTCTGTAAATGACTGGATCAGAGAAAATTTGTACCGCAGCGAACTTTATTCAATTTAATGAAAATCATGACACATTCATTAGAAAATTTGTAGAAGGCATACAAATATTAAAATAAAAAAAATTTCATATTTTTGTAAACTCTTACAACCATTATTTCAATATCAAATAAATATTTCAATTTATTAAAAACGAGCCTTTTTATATTTATGCAAAAATATCTTTAACTTTAATTAACAATATAATCAATATCTGAAATCTCTATGTAGAACATCTTTTATATGCTTTAGAAAATTACCTATTATACGTGCACAGTGTCAAGGGGCTGCTGTTTTTCACCGGAACACACGGCCAGTATATAACTAAAATTAGCTTCAATTAATTGTTTTTCATTTGTTTCAATTGCAATATTATCGCAGGAAAACAAACTTTATAAACTGTTCTAAAGTATTTAATCGAGCCTACTATATAAACGCAATGCATAACGCTATTGTCGCTACAAAAATGTTTAGATCAATATCGAAAGACTTAAGGATTGTATTTTTTTTAAATTTTAAAAAAAAAAAAAAAAAAAAAAAAAAAAAAACCAGCAACAACAACAACAACTAAGCATCTTATAATTATATAATTATCAACCGATTAATAGATTTCAATATAGAGATAATTTATATTGTACAAAATTTTGTTCATTATTCGAAACTATATATGAGTCTTGTTTATCAAATTACAAATATTTTTCTATTTTCTCGAAGGTAATTTTAATGAATTTATAAGCAAATAAGAAGACGTTACAAAAGTACAATATAAATTAATATCGCTATAAAATATAACTTGTTTAAGAGCGAGATTTTTTCAGTTTTATTAAGTGCCTTTGTAATGTTTTATAGTACAAAAAGAACGTAATTCAATGGATAATATGGATAAGTGAAAACTGTTTAAATTAAAACGTTCGTAGCGGGTTAAACATTTCGGTTGCTCGCAGTCCCTTTCTTAAAATAATCGTCAGTACAATCTTATAATTATTAAGAGTTTTATCCTTATTTATATCGAACTGCAATAACAATACTATTAATAAACATTTATCATCGATATCGCGCATGTAAATTAAGATGAATGTCATTTATCATTGTCGCATGTATAGATTTTAAGTATATATAAAATAAATATTGCACAGAGCGATCTTCTTCCATAAAGAAGAATTTACCTCTTTGTTTCAAGAAAATCGAAACATTTATACTTTGTAGCCGTACATTTTTCGTACGTTTCTTTGCAGCATGACATTCTTTTTTTACTTATGAAATACGAGAATCCTTAGAGTCCCTGAGCTCTACATCATAATTAAATGAAAATTACATTATATATTATTATATTATGTGGTGAAAATTGAAGAAGAAAAAAAAATGAAAACTGATATACACCCACATTAATTGTTTGTTACATGTGTATTTTTGTAATGCTTGCAACCTACAAGTAATAAATGTCTACAAAATAAAAACGTATTTTTATTATTATTCATATAATTTTAAATTAACATTTTCAATAATAGCATAACAATAAATATAAAAAGAATTATATATCATATATTAATTTATCTATTAAAACTAAAAATAAATAATTTGATTATTTTTTAAATATTAAAAAGAAGTAGTTACAATTTAGCATAATATAAATAAAATTGTTCATTTAATATGAATTTGCACAATAATAAAAAGGTTCTATTCAATGTTAGATGTTGAAGCATTTAAACAAAGTTATTTCACTTAATTATATATAAATGCATAATGATATATATATATATATATAAACATTGAAATATTTGAAGAGCGTAGATATTATTGGAATTTATATCATATCCTTAAAAGGCTTAGCACCTTTTAGTAAATTTTTATAAAAGTTACAACGAAATAAGAAATAAGACGTAAGTTAATCATGACAAGTATGAAATTTTCGAATTCGCGTTCAGATGTGTTTTGTATAAAGAATGCAACTGTAGTTACACGTAATAACGTATTTTTAATCTGCAAACGAAAATGTACATTTAAAGGAAGAGAAAATTAATAAAAACAAGCTATTTTTTTATAAAATTGTAAATTTTATTTATAAAAACTTTGATGGAAAAGTAATAATAATGATAATAAAAATATAATGATATGTGTTCCATTTTTGATTTTTCAAGCTTTTAAATTTTCACAAGAAAATTCGTTTTTATAAAATACAATTTCTTTGTATTAAAATACAATTAAAAAAATGTCTTAAGAAATTTATTAAATTTTAAATATCATATAAGAATTAATGAAATGAAATAAAATTGAAGTAAAATTAGAGATGGTAATTACTGATTATTACTCTTTTGATATGGACATTAAAATATTATTAGATATATAAAATTCTGCAATTAATAATATATTTATACATTAATAGTATAAGAAATAAAATTAATTTAATTTTAAATATTAAAAGACTAATCACTTTTACGGCTAAACATTTATAGGATCGATTTTACATATACAGCAATTATATAAATAAACTTCTATTATTTAAATTTGCGTGTTATACACATTGCAGCTAAGATAGGGGATAATGTAAACAATCAAAAGCATGATTTATCTTAATTGAATCAGTTTTTCTATTACTTTTCAATATGGAATATATACAAGATGATTATTATAAATTATATATGCAAATAATATTCAATCAACAAATTGATTTTATATTTTAACAACCTTCTCTTCAAACAAACTGACAAAATTCGAACTCGAGAAAGATTGATGTATACTTTTCTGTCTTTTCTCTGACCTAGAAACGAGGGGAGAAACATATGTTTGCGTAGAAAACCCAACTAGAAAAACAAATCGCGATGTTATTTTCCACGAATAACATATGCTGTCGTCTCAGCTAGTTTCTACGAATTTTTCCAATTTAATATGCATTAAATACAGAAAGTAATTTAAAGTGACATTACAAATTAATGACAAATTAATGAATTAATAATTGAAAAGATTTTATATGTCTTTCGATTATCATATCAGAAATTTTCTAATTATTAGTTACACGTACAAGATTCCTCACCCTTCTTTCTTTCGACCCGCTTCGTCGTTCCATAGCGGAGAATCAATTTCATTTTCTTGTATTTGCACATATAGTCATGCATTTTTGCACTTTGTTATTTTAGAAAAAATGCAGGAATGTATTTGAGATATTATAATATACCAATACATAAGAATTTAAAATCTATAATTTCTAAACTTGCGTTCATTGCGCTTCTAATAAATTTAAAAAAATATTTGTCTCCGATCTTATCTATTTAAAATCACAAAAGGATTATTAATATAATAGGCTAATGCTGATTAAATATCAATTTGTAAAACATCGTTTTGTTTTTTTTTTTGTTGTAATATCGAGTTTTTATAAAAAGTAAGTAAATAACAATACGACTTGAAAGCTATCCGTTAACAATTTACTGTCGCCAAAGCTTCTGTTACAAAAAATATAATTATATATATATGCGCGCGCGCGCGCATGTGTGTGCGTATGAGTGGGTGTGCGTGCGTGCGTGTGTGTGTGTGTGTTGAATGCATACGTCAAAAGTATGGAATGTATATCGGGTGAATTCAAATATGGAATAGTGAAATTAGCCGAAATAGTGTTTCGATTCTAAATAATCGAAATATAATTATTCTTTTGAATTATAATGAAATTACGCAATGACGTAGTCATACAATTCATCTACTTTGTCTTCAAAAGTCAAAATGAAATACATTTTATTTCAAGAGAAAGTCTTAACTTTTTTTTTTATTTAAGCTTATGTTGATTTAAATCCAATTCAATTAATTAGTAATTTAAACAAATATTACATAAATATTGTATTGTTAATATTAATGACATGCATAAATATTGTTGATAATACAGTATTTAGAGTTTGTACGTTAGTGCTTTAACTTGTATAAAATATATACAACTAATTTATTAAAAATCTTAATAATGATGAGATTTTATTGTATATTGTATTGTATATAATCTATAAACTTGATTATGAAGCTAATAGTATATATATATATATATATATATATATATATTAGTAAGTTAAGTAATGAAATTAATAATTATAAAGTATGAAATTTGGTATATGAGGTTAGGTATATTATTTTATGCACACATTATTTTGTTACTATATTCCATTAATATATAATGAATGTTCTTTACAGACTTTGCATTAATGTTTTAAGTAAATTAATTTAATACATCCTATTGATAAATTATATTCAAATATAAACAATATTATATAATATATATATAAGTTTAATATTTTTAAATTTAAAAATGCTGGAAAAAGAAATTAAATTAAATTGTTCTTAGACATCATGACACAAACAAAATTAGTTTAATATGCAGCAAGCATTTTTAAGAAACAAATTCACTTTTAAGAAAATTTGTCAATAGGTTGAAAATAATATAAAGAGGTTAATTGTATTCATGATTATTTATGTTTTTTAATACAATATTATTTTATTATTGATAGATATATTTTATTATTTAGGCATTCCAATTAGTTTCGGTAAAGACATCAAAGAATAGACCATTATTAATATCCGTACAACGTGAGTAATAAAATTCTTAAATCTCCAACAAATTTAATAACAAATGTAGGAAGAATATTGGACTCATTAGCAATGTAAAATATTTGTA